CCATTTATTACTACCACAAGCTTCAATCAATCATTTTCATAAATACAACAACAAAAAAACATGTGATACTCTTTAATAATTTTACAGAAAGAATTCTTGTAGCATCATTTGAAGCTTAATTTGGGTGAAACGTTTATAAATATTTAAATAAAAATTACATATAATTATTAGTTATTTAATTTTTTAAATGTAACCTGTGTCCTGAAAAATTTTGACCTAGTTTATGATCTTTCTAAAGGTTTCACAACTGCTTGAGTTTAGTAAAGTATTAATATATAGAACAAGTAATTCTTAGAATCAGAAAAGTTAGTTAATTTCCATAATTAATCAAAAACATAATCAATTCACGAAATTTGGTTTAAAAATACTGTCACCTTTAAGGTTGAATTTTTAACTCCTTATGCAATGTTTGTGGCATATGTTTATTATTTAAATTTCTTCAATTTTCATATTTACGTGGATAGCTTTTTAAATAATAAAATAACATTATCTTTATTCAGATCTGTCTTTAATAGCAGAAAACTGAGTAAACAATCTTTGGCAATAAATTATAACAAACAAAAATCTAATTAAAAAAAATAAAAAAAATTTTTTCAGATGTTTTAACTAATTATTTAAGATTATAAATGGTTAATTATCGGGTTGTTTGTCAAAATTTACACGTTTGGGCCTTTTTTAACTGTTTCAAACAAACCAAAAATAGAACAATAAAAAATTTAAGATTTAATTACCTTGTTTTCGACTTAACAATAGTTGGAAAAACATTTAATAATTATAAAAACAAATTTCTCAGAAATGTGTTATTTTCAACAAGATGTAATCATCACAAAATTTATTATTTTGTCAAGTTAATTATTTTCGTAAATATACAAATACGTGTGAAATATTTCCAACTGACAATATCCTCCTCTTCGCCCCCATCTCTCGACTTACTCTTTCCCTTATTGCGAAACTCATTGTCTTGGTGATGGCGACCCAGTGCGTTGTCCTTGGTGCCGCCTCTGCGTCTATTCCTGTCGTGCCTGCAATCGCACAACACCAAAACCAACAACACCACAACGAACAACACCAGGAGGTGGCGGATCCCCATGATGGCCGTCGACGGGCTCGTCCCTCACATGGTGCAAGCTCCTCACCAGCTCGCGCCAAACAACAAACTGACTCTCTCTTCCATGCCGTGACTCTGAAACACACACCAGTTAGTTTACCTGGGCTACAGGTGGGTAACTCGGACCACAATCCGAGCCAAGCGGACAAAAAGCGTCTCGCCAGGGCTTTTCCCCAATTTTCCCCCGGACGATTCTGGTACACAATCACACATTTTCTAAGATTAAAAAAAAAAAGCGCGAATTTTGTCGAAATTCGATTTGAGAGCGGACAAGTCTGATGGGGCCACGCGACGCTCTGTTGCGATAGTGGCACGAGTTGGAATATTTTAAAGAATAAGGCACGAGATGTAAGTGGTCGGGATGAAAGACGCGGCCGGCTACATGAGAGAATAAGAGGTTTCAGTTTGAAAATTGTAGAGATTTCGACGTGCAGTCAAGAATGAAACCTGACTTCCACCCCGGGACATTTTATCAAAGGAAAAAATTAATTGCGGAGTAATCAAGTTAAATATTGTCTTTTGGGGCTCTTTAAGATTGGTTCGAAGAAATGTCGCCGTTAAAAATACTAGATTTTTCCAGAAATTCACATTCTGTTTATATGACCGAAAAATAACAAGGGGTAGTAGAAAAAACGACCTCTATACCCACGTCGACGCAAGATTTTGATGGAAGTGTTCTAAAGGCGATTTTAAGCTTACAGTGTTCCACAATCCACAACAATAACATAATTATTATTTAAATGCATTTGATAAAATCTTGAAATATAGTTTTTTGGTTGTATTCATACAATAAAAAACTCAAACTTATAAAACCAGCAAAGTAGGAAAATTTAATTTAAAAATTGTCTTGTCTTCTATTCTATAACAAAGTTAATTAAAAGTATTAATAAATGTATTAAATATAATTAAAGTAGCTGAAACGTAAAATGTCATTTCATAACACGAATATGTTAATAATAATAAAGCAACAAAATAAAAAAGCTCAAAACTACAAATTGGTGCATATTTAGAGTAAATATTGATCCAAAAATTCAGACAACTTGCTTCTTCACGTAGAAAAGTGAGAATAGAAAATACACAAGAGTAAAAACAGAGAGAAAAAAGCTGAAAAGAGCCAAAAGAAAAGAATGAAATGCAAAAAGACAAAAATAAAGAAGATAAAAAAGAAGAAAATTGGTGTTATTTAAGAATAAAATATCGCAATACGAGTCGAAAATTCAACCAGTGAAGAAACAAGAGAGGAAAAGAGAAAAAAAGGCCAGAAAGAAGAATGAAGTAAGAAGAGAGAAAACAGACGAGAGAAAAATGAAAAGAAATACTAACCGCAAACTCACAAATCAAAGAAACAAAAGAATCAAATGAATAAAGAGAAGAATAAAGAAGATATAAAAGAAGAAAATTGGTGTTACTTAAGAATAAAATATCGTAATACGAGTCGAAAATTTAACCAGTGAAAAAACAAGAGAGGAAAAAAAGAAAAAGGGGCAGAAAGAAAAATGAAACAAGAAGAGAAAAAACAGACGAGAGAAAAACAAAAAGAAATACTGACCGCAACCTTAAAAATCGAAGAGACAAAAGAGAAGAGTGAAATGCAAAAAGTGAAGAATAAAGAAGATAAAAAAGAAGAGAACTGGTGTATATTTAAAAATAAAATATCGTAATACGAGTCGAAAATTTAACCAGTGAAGAAACAAGAGAGGAACAAAAGAAAAAAGGGCAGAAAAAAAGAGTGAAATAAGAAGAGAGAAAACACACGAAAGAAAAACAAAAAGAAATACTGACCGCAACCTTAAAAATCTAAGAGACAAAAGGAAAAAATTAAATGCAAAGAAGTGATGAATAAAAAAGATAAAAAAGAAGAAAACTGGTGTATATTTAAAAATAAAATATCGTAATACGAGAAGAAAATTTAACCAGTGTAGAAACAAAAGAGGAAAAGAGGAAAAAAAGAGCAGAGAGAATGAAGTAAGAAGAGAGAAAACAGACGGGAGAAAAATAAAAAATAGTTTATTTTGAAAACAAAATACAGTAAACAAAGCCAACTGCGAAAATGTAGTTTTATGTATTACGACAAAATTTCCCGGCCTAAAAACATACGAATGAGAGAAGAAAATGCTAACTTTGGCAGCTTGTGAGTTGTGATTCATTGGGTTCATCAACTTCTTGCCTCCTCAAGGAGCCTCAAATGATTACAGGTGACTCGACTTTGAGATTAAAATAGTCACTTCCAAGAAAAAATTTGAGGAAAATAATAAACCTCGTCTATTCCCCCAGAAATCATCAAAAAACCGAAAACTGGGCCCTCTGTTTCGCATTCCACCAAGGCCCCCTGTCGACTCCCCGACCTTCTCTCTTCCAAAACGGAATGCACATCAACATTCTTTCAGTTTTCATAATTAATGTTAAAACATTAAGACGATTAGTTATAGACCGACTTTTGGACATCATGAAACACATCCACTCAATTTTTATTCAAGGGTGTGAGTTATCGACTGGGTTCTTTTTTTCTCTTCTAGACCCATTAAAACTGTGGGTCTTCCATTTACCAATTACCATAAAACATTAGTGTAAAAGTTTTAAAAGGTCGATTTTCTATGGTGTTTTACCGAGTCATGGTTCAGGTTAACAAATCGCCGTATGGGGTCAAAATTTGACGCAGCGGCGGCTGTCAGACCTTTTTTCGATACAACCTTACTAATTGCTAGCCTCGAGAGAGGGAATTTTACTTTAAGAGTAGATTTAAAACTCAATATCTCCGATTTTTATTAAAGAACTCGAGTTTAGAACAATATATCTAAACATATGTATCTAGATAAAATTACAATACATTTTTTTGACTTGTCTACATATGTAGCACCCATCTCGAGTTTTGCCTCGGCCCGGCCTCCTTGGGCGAAACCGGAGCCCAGGTACAACCTCTCAACTCAAAAAAGAACAAAGCATCTTTAATTACACGTTTCTCCTCATCTAATAATCTATTCTCACCACAAATCAAAAAGCAAAAACTCCGTGTTAGGGGTGTAGCCCTGCTCGCACCTTGCCGGCGCCATCCACCATGCAAAAAAAAACATTGCACCGTGTTTACTAATTCGCGTTATAAGTTGTACGATATATATGCATTAGTGTAAGTCGTTTTCGCCATATTTAGCAACAAGTCGAGGAAGGCCAAGCGTAAATTCATTTAGAAATTCCCGTTTTGGATCGATCCGGAATCCAGTGACTGGGAAAAAGTCGAGCTTCGCACGCGTCCTCACATTTGAATAATAATTATGCGCTCTCGTGAGGGTCCAATTCTGGGACCGAGTCATTCTAAGGAAAAAATGTGCTCGAGGTTAGAGGATAATCGACGCGGATCGAACTGTAACCGATAATTTTCGAACATTGAAGCTGTTTACACCCACGGCGAGGTTTTAATGACAAAGGGAATTTTCGAAGAAAAAAAGTAGCTGTTTCGAGACAAGCAAGGTGGGAAACTGACGCAAATAATAGCACAGTTTCATTTATCTGAAAATTATTCAGCAATTTAAAAAAAGGCAGAGAAATAAATACAGCGTGTCTCCCTTTCTTACCCCCAAAAAAGGTTCAATTTTTGGATTACACAATAAGAACCAAACCTACGAGAAACTTGTGTTAAACTATTTAAAAAGTCTTTCATTGTATAGAACAAACAATAATAAAGTGACCAGAAAAAAATACTAATAACATAAAGAAATATATTGTCGAAGTCTGTCATGACGTCAGTTTATGTATATTAATAAAGAAGAAAACAGATACAAAGGAGAGTTAAAGCAAAAGAGGGTAGAATAAGGTTCCAAATTTAACTAAAAGTTGAAAAACATTTTTTGTATTGTGTTTATTTATTTCACTATTTTTGTTTGAAGTTTTCAGTATCCAGTAACAGAGAGATAAGATTTTAATTGAGACACCCTGTAGACATAACGGAGCAATTTTTTATACATAATGTTTGTCAAATACTCATATTTGAAATTGTGGAAAATAAGATTTGAAAAACGCTGACATATTTTTCTAATGAAAAAATGAACTCTTCGAGCATTAAAATCACCAAAAGTAAATATAGAGAAGTTAAATTTTTGTGTCTTAGGTATTCAATATTAAAAATTTTATAAGAAAAATAGAAAAGCAATATTTTTTAAATAACAAAATATGTGTTTTAGAAGTTAGTCTAGTTAGGAAACTGATTAGGTCACTAAAAGTAAGTAATATAAAATAAAAGGAAAATGTTTTGAATGTGTTTGAAACAATTTAAATGTGTAATAATTAAACATCTTTTATAATCGCATCCAAAATAAGAAAACAAATATTAAATTACTTCTTTTTTCTAAAAAACTAGATAAATCATTTATCAGAAAAATTTAGTGTTTTAGAAATGTGTATTTTATTATTTTTGTTCCTCAATGAAGACAAATAGTGAGTGTCATCAAAGTCTCAATAAATACATTGTAGTGTCAACAATTGTTGTTTTTCTTTTTAATAAAGAAGTGTTGAAAAATATTAGAAATTTCTTATTCCGAGTTTCCTGAATTCAAAGAAGAGAAAAAATAAGATAAACTGATAATATTTTACAAAATAGTATATTATGTTATTAGCAGTAAAAGTGATAGTTTATGTGACGAAGCAGAACGGAGTGAGGCAAATAATCCAGCTGAGCCACATAAACTCACTTTTACTACGAATAACATATTTTATCCACAAAAGTATTCAAATCAAGAATAAAGAGCAACACTATAGTTAGCAAGTAAATTAACAAATTAATTGGAATACTTTGCAAGTAAGAAAATTATAACACACGTCACCCGTCAGTATCGAATTTGTGTTAAGATTTTCGAAAGTGTTTATTAATTTAGCTAGTGCATAACTAGTGCACTAAATAGTACAAAATGTCGACAATGCACCTCTCCAAAAAATGCTGAAGCAAGGAGAGAGGTAAAAAAGAAACAAGATTGACAAATGTCAATAAGTAAAAACGCTTAATCAAAAAAATAGAATTTTTACTCCATGCCTGAAAGAAAGTATTAAAAGTGGTAAAGGTAGTAATAAAAGTGGTCACTTTTGTG